GAGAGAGAGACAGTGTATGAGTGTGTATATGTGTGAGTGTGTGTGTTTCTTGTGCGTGCGCGCGAGTGTCTCTGTGAATGTTTGTGTTTGCTTTCAGTTTCAGGCGACCGAGTCGGGCGATCGGCCCGGCCCGATCCAGCCTTAGTGGGCACTTCGTATTAGATCTAAACACATTGAAACCAAAAATGTCGCAGTTAAAAACAAGGTATTTATTTTTCAACTGACAAAGAATTTTTAAAAGAAAAGGAGGCGCGTTCTTTCGCTAGAGTCCGCAAGTAAACATACTTTTCTCGGGTTATCGATTTTTAAAAATATATGAAACTGAGCTGGTTCCTATCTGAGAGACAAAATATTTTTTTTTTAAATTCGAAAATAGTCGTTATCAACACTTTGCACATGACCGGAACGGGCACAATCATTGGGTGGCTTCGGGGACATGAGGATGGAAATGGGGTCATTTTTGTCAAACCTCTTTGGCTAAACATAGGACATGCCTTTTTTCTATGCTTTATTCCAGATGCTCTTTTCTAGTCTCAGATAAGCACGTTCTAACACATTCCGCTCATCTGCGAATAACGCGATGTATTTCTAGTTTCCATCCACAATATAAGCGAATATCTTTTTAAATAAGTGGGAAGAGAACGCTTTATTCTTCGGCTCTCTGGGCTTTATTCTTCAGCCGGGTTTTCCGCCCGCTCCTTGTTCATCACCATGTCTTTGAGTTTCGTGATGATGGTGGACGACTGCTGGTTCTCGGGGCTGATGGGGAGGTTCAGGCGTCCACTGGCCAGGACATTTCTAATGGGCGTGGCCAACTTCGCTTCTATCTGATGGATGAGCATGATCTTGTGCTTCATCTGTGCCTTGAAGTGTTCAGTCATCATACGGCTGTGGACAGAAAACAGGAGGAATGTTTCATCAAAATGATTAATAAAGTTACGTTGATTTCGTTCGGATTTTTATTTGAGGGAAAGGGATTTCGGAGAAGGAGAGAGGGGGAGGGAGAGGGAGAGAGAGGGGGGCGGAGAGAAAGGCAGAAAGGAAGAGAAGGAGCGTGTGAGGGAGAGAACGAGAGAGGGGGTGGAGAGAGAGATAGAGACAGACAGAAAGACAGACAGACAGACAGACAGA